ATTCATCTGAACAACCAATGGATCACAGAGCTAGTAAAAGATGAAATTAAACAATGCATACAATTAAATGATACTGCTGATACAATATAATGAAATTTATGGAATTCAGTGGAAGCTGTCCTATGAGACAAATTTATAGTGATGAAATCAAAGATTAGGACAAATGCAAATAAACAACCTAATGTTAGAAAAAGATCAAGTCAAACTCAAAGTTCATGTGAGGGAGGAAATTACAACCATAAAAGTCAAAAACTTTTAGTCAGAAAGTACTGCAATAAACACTAAGTAAACAATACAAAGAATCAATGAATCAAAAAGCTTGTTCTTTGATAGAACAAATAAAAATTGTAATAAAACATTAGTCAGCGTCATCAAAAAGAAGAAAGGAAAAACACAAATTCAGGCAATTAGGAATGAACAAAGGATCCCATGGAAATCCAGGAGATCATCAATAACTACTATGAGAACCTATATTCTAGTAAGATGGAAAACACACAGGAAATGCACAGATTCCCAGACACAGTCAAATTGCCAAAACTAAATCAAGAAGATGTAAAAATTCTAAATAACCCAATACCAGCCCATGAAACTGAAAATGTAGTAAAACTTCACCGACAAGGAAAGCCCAGGTTCAGATGGATTCACTGCTGAACTTTACATGAAATTTATAGGAGAACCAATGCCACTTGCTGAAACACTGTAAAGAAATTGAAAGAAAGCAGTACTGCCAAAAGCATTCCTGGAAGCAAGTGGCACCCTAATTCCAAAACCGGGCTAGAAGGCAACCAGAAAAGAAAATCTCAGAACAGTCTCCCCAGTGAAGATAGAAGCAAAAATCCTTAATAACATAATGAGTTCTCCAATTTCTTTTTTGGTTGTTTAATCTGTGGGAATTAACTTACAACATTCAAAAGTTGAGAAATGGTATCATCTTTACCAAATGCTGACTGCAACATTTTAGTGTTTATTTTCTTTTTCTTTTTCATGTCCATCCATTTCTAGAAAGTTAATATTGAACACATTCTGCAGCAGTGCTTTAGCAGTGTATGGAGGAATTTCACTCAGCTTTAACACTTTTTGCAATAATAATGTGGTATTGTTCGTGTTGCAGTATAGTGATGTGGTATTGCTAGGTTTGCAAATATTTTAATATTCTGCAAATGTTTATCATGAAATATATATATGCAAGTATAGCACTTCAAGTAATAATTAATGAAAGCTCTTCACTTTCCAACGTGGCAAATTCTAAAATGTCAATGTGTCACAAATGATAAAGATGAAAATTATAAGCAATGTAAATATATCTTACCATAGTAATGCATTCTACTTACAATTCTGAATGAAGTTTAAGGTTTGGAAAGAATAAGAATGAGAATACAGAATCATATTAAAGATGTAGAGTAGCACTTCTTGGCTGTTCCCTGATGACAATAAATATTTCTTAAAGAGAAACTGAAAAGAGTAGTGATATTATATTCAAGTCAACAGGATGGTGGTAGACACGTTCATCAACTCAAGGGTTAAAATCAATGATTCAACATGTGATACCCAAACAACTTTATGCTTAGAGTGAGGGTTATCATGTTGCAAAGTTTATATAGTTGAGAAAATTAGTACCTAGCAGAGAAATCTATCTACAGAGCAGTATGTTTGGGAATCTTTTTTCCTGGAGTGATACTAATAGTGTACAACTTCATTTTGCATTCCTACTCTGAGATCATAACAACCTTCTCCCATTCTCCTGTAAGTTTTCCCACTACATTATGTCTTCTGCTAGTTCCCTCAGCCTGATGCCCGTAGCAAATGTATCGTCCAATAAAACCAGTTCCTCGGGGTCTCCTCTGCATTAGCTATTTATACAGTATGATTACTACAATGCAAAACTGTGCTAGTAGTCCTCACACTCTTCTCAATTTAAAATATCTCTTGCAGCATTATGAGGTAATTCTTCACAGTTGTTTTATCTTGAAAGTGAGGATATCAGAGATTCCAAATACTATTTATTAATGAATGCATAAATTCTGAGTTGCTCAGCTTGGCTTTCCCAGTGTGTCCCATATTTAGATATCTGAAGTTCAATGGCCCTGATATATTCTTCTGTAGTCATGTTATACTACTAACTGTTACATAAACTGTTGTTACTTTCCTGCTATATCCTCATTACTATATTCTCCTACTATAAACATTACTCTTTATTTTTCTTCTCAGCATATTCACAAATAATATAGTGTATATTTCATAGTTACTTTTCACTGAGTTCCTTTATTTACAAATGTCTGTTATTATCACTTTACTCCTAAAAGGTAATAGGCAGATTTTTGCTAAGTATTCTGTGTCATCAAGTGTTGATTTCATTTATTCGAACATGGAGGAATCTAAATGAAAAAAAAAATAAGGTGTAATCAAGAGATTATATCATACCTCTTGGTAGTCATAATAAACATAGTTTTGTCAACTAAGTTTTACACATGTACTTGGCTCATTTGGACATCAGTGGAATTCAAAATTTTTCTGTGAAATTAAGTCAAAGAGAAGTTCTGTAAACTCACCTCAGCATAAAAGCACTGGAATGATACATTTACTGAAGAATGTCTTTGGTAAGGTTAATGAAATCAACAAATGCTCTGGCTTAATATGTACCTGATAGAAATGGACCTGTCTACCAGCATCCACAGTAGAGTTCAATGACTATTTTGCATGGTACATTTTTTTCCAACCTACTAAGAAAATTCAGAAATGGCAGATATAAGATTACACCTACAACTTACTCCTGTCACCAAACTGTCTTATAAATACTGACAACAAGACCTGGGGATTTGGAAGCTCAGCACTATCTTTATGGTGCTGCCTTGGAGAATAAAAATTGAACAATTAGGTGTAAAGCAGTCCCATGGGACACCTTGGCTGTACGTCATTTGTCTAAAGCCTTGGAGAATCTGTATGATTAGCCTTACACTACATTAACAATTATTGTATCTTAATCTCTCAAAGATACAGAGCAGAGAAATAGACAAGGAAAACATAATATATTAAGACAGTCAATGGATTGATATCTTAGCCCATGCTGATTTTGTTTTTCCTCCCGTTATGAAGGTGCATTTCTGTTACTGTATGTCAAAATGTATTCCTACCGAAAGAATAACTTTCATTATGTTTTCTTTTCTTAATTTGTGATGTGTTATTTTGTTTATTTTGTATTTTAAGTATTGGCTTTCTTTCAAGAAAACAATTTAGGTTTGACTTTCAAATATGATTAAGTGAACTTCAGATGTGTATATTTATTTCTGCATCTGGGAAAATAGAATTATATGTTTATATTGAAATTCTTATAGAAAATGCCAGTTTATGGATCAAATATTTTATTTATTATATTTGGTGACTCAATTCATCAAACCTTGAAAGGTGCACATAAGAATACCACTGTCATAATGAAGCAGAAGTACAGAAGACAAACTATATTTCCAAGTATTGGGTACAAACATGTATGCAGCCAAATCAACTACTACAAGAATTCCAAAAATACAAGGGCTAAGAATCTCTTCAAATAATGGTGTTGCAAAATTAGATATATACATTTCCCAAACTGTTGGTTGAGCACACACATGCACAAACACACTCAAGGAAACAATGACTTAGCTTTATGAAAACACTGAACTTTAGTTTTCTTTTGTCCCTCTGTTTGTGCTCCTTCTATGAAACATTTGAACTTTACAATATATAGAAATACTTTCTGAACTAATCACTTTGGCTAAGCAAAGTGGTCTGCTTTGGCCAACACAATGTTACCCATGACATAGAAGCAGACTTGAGCTAGCTTTTGATTTTGTACAACTTGTGATTTAGCTCTTTTCATCAGAAGAATATACCTTATCTGACTTACCGATTCAAGGAAGATTTAGATACAGAGAGCAAAGCTATGAAAACACTTCAAACGACAGGGTGGGGATGTGTTTACCACTCAAAGCTGACCAAATAAGCTTAGTCAAGATGCTCATACTGATTATCAGTGGGGTTAGGTAAACAATCAATGAAAAATAAAATACATTGTATGAAATTCTAAAATCTCACCTCATTTTATGCAGCAATATATAAGATAACAGGATCAAACATTGGCATAAATGACAAATTTAAGTTTAGCATTATCTGTGCTTTTTTATTTTAAGAAGAAAAAAGTAGTAACAAAATAACAACAAAGGCAAAAACAAAACACCACAGAAGCAGAAACAATACAGATTTTCAAAACAAGATGATAGAGTAACAATGGTTGTTATATTACATAAGGTTGTCTTCAACAAAGTTGCTAAAATTACCAGATGTAAGAATGCAAGATTGATCAAACAATGAAAAAGCACAAAAGGAGAACATTAGAAATGATACAGAATTTGGTCACTAAAAAGATGGGAGGAATTCGACAGTGGACGTTATAGTTCATATTGTTGTCTTCAAATTTGCAATGCATGGTATACAGTGACAAAATACAATTCATGCCAAAACATTATTGAATAACACATTATAGTTTTCATGAAAGAAAGATATGCTTTAAGTACTTACGGTAAACTAAGCCTCCCTATGCAAGAGAAAATGAACATTTGCTTTACATTTTCTGTCTGACTTTTGACCAGCTGTCAGGTTACTCTACTGTATTTTATGTATGTCCACTGTGAGGGGGTATAAGAACAGATGATAATCCCATTTTTCCTGTATGGAAAAAGGACACAGGGTTCATTTTAGCATTGAAAAGGTAATCTGTGCTAAATCTTTGATTTTAATGAGAAACTCTGAGATTAGAACCAATTTAAATGATCAGAGATGAAACTGCTTCTCTTTTACTTTGGATTTCGAGCTGAAGTACTAAAATTCAAATTAAACCAGTATTGGATAATCAGCGGACTAAGGATTACTTCAGAAATATACTCTTTACTTTTTGAAAAATGAAGTTCTTGAAAATTGGACAATTGGGTACAATTTTCTTGAAAAGGCAAACATATATCTTACAGCCCTTATAAGAGTTGACATAATAATTTGGACCCTACTAATTTCCTGACTGTCTCTTTGACATCTTTGTTCCTGAGGCTGTAGATCAGGGGGTTCAACATGGGGATGACCACCGTATAGAAGACAGAGGCCACTTTGACCAAGAGCCATGAGCTTTTGGTGGTGGGGGCACAGTAGAGGAACAGGATGGTCCCGTGGAAGATGGTGATGGCCGTCAGGTGGGAGGCACACGTGGAGAAGGTTTTACTACGACCCCCGGGTGAAGGCATCTTTGTGATGGTGATGAAAATGAAAGCATAGGAGGTGAGAATGATCGCCAGGCTGCTGATTTCATTGAATGTGGCAGAAAAAAAAATGAGCTGTTGGTTAATGTAGGGGTCAGAGCAGGACAGAGCAACAATGGCAGCATGCTCACACACAAAGTTATTGATGACGTTATTTCCCCGGAAGGACAATTTCAGTAGGAAGGAAGTAAGGGTCACGGAACATATTAGCCCCCATGAGTAGGAGGTACCCACTAACACGGAGCAGAGCTTTGGGGACATCACAACTGTGTAGAGGAGAGGCTGGCACACTGCCACGAATCGGTCGTAGGCCATCGTGGCCAACATGAATGTTTCTGTGACCACAAACACACACGCAAAGAAGAACTGTGTGACACATGCTGTGAAGGAGATGGTTCTGTCTTCCACAATCAGGTTTTCTAGTAGCTTCGGGGTAACCACGCTGGAGTAGCAGAAGTCAACAAAGGACAAGTGACTGAGGAAGAAGTACATGGGGGTGTGGAGCTTGGGGCTGACCCTGATGATCAGGATCATGCCTAGGTTCCCCAGCACGGTGATGGTGTAGACGGCCAGGAATACCAGGAACAGGGGCACCTGGAGGTCAGGGTACTCGGAGAAGCCCAGGAGGATGAAGGTGACTAACATGGTCTGATTGTCTTGCATCCTGGCGCATAAAAGAAACAGTACATTCATAAAAGCAAGTGGATCAACCTAAAGAAAACACACTAAAATGAAGAAACGTTTGGAACATTAGTGTTAATCCATAAAGTAAAACATGAAAATAATTTCCACATGTGCATCACTTCACAAGTAAATATTTACAAATGTGACAAGTGCAGAGTGAGTATCAGTTCCTCACAAAAGGAGTAATCAAAGAAACAAAACAGAGTGAAAGAAGAAAGATGTATTGGCCATATTTTAATGCAAGTGATCAGATTTCTTTTTTTTTTTTTTGAGGCAAAACTGAATCTGGGAAACTATAGACATCTGAGGAAGTCAGGAGACAGTAACATCTTTATTTTACACCAGTAGTCCTGAGTGAAATAACTTCCAACAAAAGTCGGGTGGCAAATGCCTGTGAGCCAGCATTTTTACCTGAGGTACAGGCAGTTCCTCTGATTAGCTAGCAGGGTGAAGTCACTGGTTACAAGGTTAGATTATTGATTATCCTTTATAAGGCTAGATTAATGCTGATGCAGCTTGGTACAATCAGGCATCCTGCATGTTTAGTTATGCTGTCATGGCTACAGAGGTCAAGAGAGTCCTCATAAAGCCCTGAAGCAGTTACAGAGCTAGAAAATGTCAAAAAGCAAAGTTTCAAAACGACCAATTTTCCCAGTACAGTTTTTCCTTTTCACTATTATTCCAGAGAACTGAATACATGGGAAGGGACAGTCAAGCTTCTGCATGAATCTCAGTGTAATGAAAATGTTATTCTTGGAAAGAGTAGCTCACCATGCATTCACCAAGTTCTCCCTACCTCACCTGTTCAACTCTGAGAACTTGGAATTCATAAACAAAACTTCCTCGCAGAGTACAATTGTCAAATCGCTTTTTGTTTCTTACTGTTTCTCTGCCACCATGGCTATTTCTGAATTTCACTTTCCAGCGAGCTTCACATGTTGTCACACACTTCTTTCCACAATTTCGAGATCTTTCCTGTAGAAGAATCATTCATAATTACTGAAGAGTTAAATCATTTTATCTGATCCTGGTATACTATAGCTTAGCTCTCCAGGATAATTTAAATTAAGACAGATACCATTACAGTATGTCCTGACTATATTTACAAGGTTGGAATCTTTTGTTACCACATCATCTTTAGGTCCTCATTTTACTCTACTTCCAAGCTTCCAAAAATAGACAGTATTTCCTGGGGAATTACAATGGTTAGCTTTATTTCTGCCCTGAACTGTCTGAAAAGCTCATATACATAATCCTTCCCTTTATCTTTTCTCCCAGTTTCTTTATTTCATCCAATAATTTGATCTCCATTTAAATTATTCTCTTTACCCTGGCAATGCTCATAATGATGTCATTATAAATATCTGGTAATCCTCAAAAGTATCATTTTCATATAATATCTAAAATATAATACACACTTTACTTATTTTTATCATTTACCATTGCAATGATTCATACATTGTGTCACCTTGAGAAGTTTAGAGCTTTAACTAAGTAACTCAGCGGGAGGCCAAGGTCCTAGCTTTGTAAACATCCAGAGTTTGTGCAAGAAGAGGGCAGGGAGATGGTGTGATTATAAAGGGTCCACAGTAGGGCAGAAAGCCTGTATACGAAATAAAGAAGGGAAAGAGGCTTACTTTCCCCCTATTGCTCTTATTGCTTTTGCTGTCTTCTGCTGTCTTCAGCTGTTGTCCCTGTGCCACGCCACCCTGCCTTGGAGCCAGCTGATTATGGAGTGAAACCTCCACAAACTGTGAGCTAAATAAACCTTTTTTCCTTGAGTGTCAGTTATTTTGTCCCACAATGAGAGAAAAATAACCAAGACAATCATTTTATCATTTTCTCTGTAGCAGTAAACTAAAATTAGCAAGGACTAATATATACAATTAAGACGTAGGTATTCAACAACACACACTGGGTAAATGAATGTGTGGATATGTAAATGAAGGCAGTCTAGGCCTGTATTATATGTGCATGAGATAAAAGCCTGCACTAGTGCAGAAAATGTTAAAATTGACTGTTTAATCAGACAGAGCTGCACTGAAAAATCAAAATGCATTGAGGCACATCTTGAATCTTACAAACAAGTAGCGGCTATAAAAGTCTAAAAGCACAAGATCATCCTTAATTACTGTAAAGTAAGAGTAGTTATGAAAACAGGGCGCAAAGGGTTATTTTTCTATGACCAAGCATGTCCAAAATGTCTAACATGAGTGATGTACCATTTCGTAGAGTTATGGTCAGAACAACATCCTGATGGCTCAATGGACCCGCACGTGGCACAGAACATTAAGGGAGAACTTTCCCCAGAGGTCACTTAAAGAATTGCATGCCTGCAAGCTTTGAATAGATGATAGTATTCACTGAGTTTTATGAGTTTTTATCCACCACTACATACATCACATAAGTTTCCTAAAGATGAAGATATTATTCACACTTTCCAGTAGCTTTTCTTCTTTAACTGCTCCTTTAGATTCCTTTGATTTGATAGCTGCAATTTGATCTCCTCCTACACCTATTGTTTCTCTACTACATATTTTTAAAAAATATAACACAAAATATACTCAGTCTAACTTCCAGGAATAACATACTATTTTACTTTTTTAGAACCTTTTTCAAAACCCAGTATTTTTTTTCTCTAAGTCTGCCTAACAAATTTTGAGAAGCCTAAGGTGAAAATAAAGTCATTGATATCAAAATGTTTTCTAATACATATTCAGCCATTTATTATCCCTACATTTTTTCCACATGTGTAGATTTCATCCACTTCCTACCTTCTGTTTTCGTGTTTAAGGGATTTGGACTACTGTTTCCAATGTTCCACTTTCCCCAGGTAAACGTCACCTTTGGACAACTGACTGATGTCCCAAAGTACTTTATATGCAGTTCTTTCCTTCCTTCCTTTCTTCCTTTCTTCCTTTCTTCCTTTCTTCCTTCCCTGCTTCCTTCTTTCCTTCCTTCTCAGCTTTCTCAGCAGGTGTACTCTATGTATGTAGTACACATTTTAGAAACCAAACTATTGCAAGATATAAATCTTGTTTTCTTTGTTCTCCTGGGAGTTCACTGAAGGAACAATGCCTAAAGTTGATAATGACTCAGTATGACACATAACCCTCATGACACATTAAAACTCAAGCATGTGTGCATAAAAAAGAGAATATTGTGATCAAGAAACAAGAAAATACTTTCTGTGAGGGGCTGCGGATTTAGCTCAGGGCACAGCGCCTGCCTGGCAAGTGCAAGGTCATGAGTTTGATTCCCCCAGTACCGGGAAAAAAACAAAACCAAAAAAACAAAACAAAACAAAACAAAAAAGCAAACCACTTTCTGTGCTGTGGATGTAGCAAGTTAATAATAAATCCATTAAAAGACATTGAAACAGATACTTTTACCTTGAAGAATTATGTGTTTATCTTGGCAGTTAGATTTACACATGGGTTTGCTTCCTGGAGAGATTATGGCACAGAATTTTTCTCACATTACAAATCCACAGCTCACCTCAGTGAAGGAGGCTTTGATTCCTTCACTTACTGAAGGTTCCTTACAACATGAACGGGCTCCAGAAAAACTCCTGCTGTGAATTCAAACTGAAATCATAAGAGCGAGCCAGAAGAAAAGCAGTAGGAGGCTACTGTGTTTTTCAATGAATGTTTCAGTAAGATAACCTTTTCTCCTCGCCTTTTCAAAATCAGCTCTGTGATAACAGAGAGAAGAGAGAACAAAAAACTGGTTCCTATCATCAAACTGGGGCGCACATACATGTCACCAAGACCTGAGGGATGTTAACCCTCGAGGGGATCATTGCTGTGCTGCCTGGGAGACACAGACTGAGCAATTAGAGGAAACAGAGCCCTCACATGATATTTTTGTTTCACAGTAATTTCTAAGATTGGGGAACACTTTCATAGGCAATTTTAATTCTATGACCTTATTTTAAATATGCTTATCAGATTTAATATGGTTTTCTTTAAATACCTAAAACATAGAAAGGTATACAATAAAAAGCTACTAAGCAACAATCTAGATATTACTACTTTTAATTTTTGTTGTACTTGTTTAACCCCGCTCTTATCTAGGTATTTATAGGTCAGTATATCTGTGGTTGTAAAGTTCATTCAAGAAGTAACATAGTTAATTATTCTCGTTAAATATTGCATTGCATTTATTTTGTTTGTTTTGGGTTTTCTTGTTTTCGTTTTTCTTCCGGTACCAGGAATTGAACTCACGAAGTTTCGCTTGCCAGGCAGGCGCTGCATCGCTGAGCTAAATCCCCAGCCCGAAAATTGCATTGTAGTTAAACTTCTTCTTATCCAATAAATAGTTATTTAACATCTATAAATAACCACTTGATTTTCTCCTAGTAAACGTGTTAGCATTATTTTCATTAATTAGCTGAGTATTTCAGTGGATTTCAAATCTGTGAACTTCATTATAAACATACATGCAAAAAAATCCTCAAAAATATTAGTAGCTGTGTTTAACACAAATTTAAGTGATTTTAAATTCTATGCCATGTGGAATTTATTCCTGGAATGCAAGTATAGTTCAACATTAAAAAAAAAAATCGAACAGTATTTTCAGGCAGGGTAGTACATACCTGTAATCCCAGTACTCATGAGGATGAGGCAGGAGGATCACAGTGACTTCAAGGCTAGTCTGTGCTACACAGTGAATTCAAGGCCACTTTGAGCTATACAATGAAAGCCTGTCTAAGAAAAACAGTCAGTGTACTATGACATAAAATTCAGTGTAACTGTAAAAAGAATAAAGCAAAACATACGTGATCCTCTCAATTGGTGCAGAAGGAAAATTTGACAAAAGTCAGCATACTTCATTTCAAACATAACTAAAAATTTAAATGCCCATGGAAATTTCTTCCAAAAATAGAAGCCAACTATAAAAAAATTTGACATCAAACTTCATATTGAATAAACAAAACCTGAAGTTTTCCCTCCAAAGGTCACGAACCAGACAAGGATACTTGCCTTCCACAGTTCTGCTCAGGAGAATGCACACGGCTTTAGTCACAGCAATTAATTCAGCAAAAATAATTGAAGTTATTCAAATTGATGAAAGAAGTTAAATTTATTTCTTTTCCCAAATTGCATGAACTTACAAATAAATGTCACTGAAGATTTGAACCACATATGAGTGTGCCCACACACAAACACACATGTACACACACCCACAAACTCATACAAACTCACACAACTTAGTAAATAGTTCAAGCAGAATTCTAGGATTCAAATTCATTGTAAAAATATTATAGCTGGGTTTCAGTAACTTCAAAATGGTGGGAAGAATATAATTCATAAATAATAGCAGCATAGAAAATACTCAGGAATAAACTTAACTAAACAGGGACAAGAAGGGCACATGGAAAACTACCAATTGTTGCTTAGGAAGACCAGACAGGACATGAATGAGTGGAAAGCATTCTCGTGTTCACTGAAGCCTTAATATTTTCTCAGCTGCATAATTTATAATGACCAAAGAGTGGAAATAAAACAGTTGTGCATCAAGAGATGTGTGAACTGGAACATAGATAGACCGTGGCAACGTGAGTTTCAGTGAAGCAAGCCAAACACAGACACCGTATGATCCCACGTGTATGGGGTGATGCTAAGATCAATTTTGTAGACACCAAGAGCAGATATCAGGTTACTAGAGATCAGGGTGGGGTGACGAATAACCTGTTCACTTTGTAATGGAAATACTTCCAGTTTGAGATGTTGAAACATTTTTAAAGATTGCAGTTCTGGTTGCACAACAATGCGGGTGTGCTTTTTGTCAGCATTACACTCCAGTGTGGAAATGGTGAGTTTTGTGTTCTGAATATTTTAAAATAACTTTTATAATTTAACAAAGCACTAACAACACTTTACTTAGAAAAAAAAAAAACAATTTAAAATGAACAATTTTTAACAGACCTGAGATTGCAGTGGCCCAAATCACTGGAAGAATTCTCAGAATTGTGGTCACCAAGAAAATGCAACTACAAATTATAAAGAGATACCATTATTTTAGTGACATAAATGATTAAAATTTAACTCTAACATTATGAATTTCAGACAAAGATGTGAAATAATTGTAATTTATGCACAAAGGGTAAAATAATTACATAAGTTAGTGTGATTATCAAACTCATTGAAGTCCTAGAAATATGTGCAAAATTGTGGCACTTTTTCTTAATTTTAAAAATGCATAATAAGTTTACTGTTCATGCAATTAATGAAAATTTTATAGCATTTGTATCATACAGAGCTGATTATCGGAGGCTTCCTTTTAACACTGTCCAAAGAGAAATAAAATCTGCAATAGTGGGATTTCAATCTTAGTGGCAAGAAAACCTTCTTTACGCTAATGTTGGAAATATAAAGATTAAAGGAAATAATTTAGATTCAGACAGCTAACTGATCAATGGATAGGTAATATTTATATATACATTTTTTTCATATATATAAAGAGAAATATATAAGTGGACTGAGAATTATAAAACTATAGAGATATATGTATGCCCAAACTACATATGCATATTTACATAGGTACATAAATAACATTTTATATACATTTTATGCTTTAAAATTCACAGAACAGTGTATTTAGAAGTCATTGACAAACTTTCATATTCTTTGATTCTCAAAAACTTTTAAAATATGTTAAAGATCTGCAAAATATCACAGAAGAATAAATTAAAAATTTAATGTTTTAATGAATTCTTTAAGAAGTATACTTTTTATGTTAGAAATCAATAAATTCAACTCAGATCTCTTAAATCTTAGCCTTTTCTCTTGTTTCACAAAAAATAATCAGTTTTTTTAAAAGTTTATTTTAGTTTGAGAGGAGAATCAAATGTTGATTTTATGTTTCAAAAATACTACCGTGTGTCTTGCAAGGTGTTGTCTTACACTTAGCCAAATAATATGATGGTTGGTAGAATAAATTTTCAAATAGTAATACAAAATTCACCTCCAAACTCCTAGCTGATAGCACCCATTTTTTGACGTCTAAATGGTAAAATTAGAACACCACTAGATGGCAGAGTGATACCATGATTTAAATGAAGAACTGTTAAAAAATATTTTAGAGTAACCAAAAAGAAGGAAAGCATGACTTATATTGTGAATTATATAAAGATTATACATTCCTTACCTTTTTATTTTCTTTCAAATATCCAAAGATGTCAAATGACATGACCACTTTCTAAAATACCTACCTGTGAATTTTTATTTTTGTTTCTCCACAAGTTAATTTTGACTAGCAACAATCCCTTGAGTTCTGGTTATTTCTACTATTACAAATTTTTAAAAAGAAAGTGGAAATTTTCTTATCAAACAAAAAGATACTTCTAAAAATCTAATTTTATTCTGTAGCATTTAATATTTTTACAATACGTCCAAATAAAAAGGATAATTGCTATAAGCAAATATTAGCATGAACATAAAATTCCATGTGAGCATATAAATCCTCTAAAAGCAAAGGGCAAACAAAACTAAACACATAGACATAATCTTATCCATTTACATAACATACGTTCTGTGGGTTATGTATCAGAATACCTATGCCTGCACATGAAGTAAAATATCGTAAGACAAAATATTACAGAGCTGAAACATCACATACTAATTTTATCAACAGGTCTCATAAACTGTCAGATCCAGTTGTATGCTCCATGCATGAAAACCTCATAAAGAGATAATTAAGTGGAGTTAAAACTAAAGAATGTTAGTGACTCCTAATTTATTTCACTACTGTTACAGAAAATATGATTCATTATTCTAGTCTTTAAAATCTGTTATAACTTCTTGTGTGACAACCCAAACGATCACTATTGGTAAATTTTCTTTCTCTTTTTTTTTCTTTTAAAGAGAGTAGTAAAAGAAAAAAAAAAAAAGAATAATAGCAGCATACCAACATCACAAACTTAAATCAAAGCAAGCACATTAAAAGTGATACAGGGTTTCAAAACAAAGTGATAGGAATTACAGTGGCTGTTATATTACATATTGTTATCTTCAACTATGTTGCTCAGATTTAGACATGGTCTTTTAATTTAGTCCAAGGTGACCCTGAACTCACTGTGGAGTCCACCCTGACCTTGAACTCATGGCAACCCTTCTGCCTCAGTGTACCACATGTTGGGAGTACAGATATGGCCCAATGTGCCTGACAAATTTTCTGTTTCCATGGAAAGACATCAATGTGCTCTTTATGTTGGGTGACATATTCCTTGCAAATTTACTGGGACAAATACATTAATTATGCCATTTAAATTCTGATGCCTTTACAGAGTACTGTTAATTTGAGTCATCACTGGATGAGAGATGTCACAGTTTCCCGTGATGATGAAAATTTGGCTATTTTTGTATAGTTCTGACTTTTTATTTATACATTTTAAAGTTCTATTATTTGGTGCATGGAAGTTTGAAGTGTGATATCGATGTTGCATGTGGACTCTTTTATCATGTAGAAGTTATCATATTTATATTTAGTAATTATTTCAATAATTGTGGTGTAATAGGAAATGTACTTTCTCTACAGTACCAGAAGACGATGAACAACATTTACAGTTTTAA